AAACAAGAGATTAATCATCAAGCCCTATGTGAACATCGTCAGAGTAAAATTTAATTCTGATCACTTTAACTGCTTGGATTCATAATAGATGCATAGAGTATCGATCAAGATGAGGTTGCAATGACTAATGCAGGGCGAAGACGGTACAGAGAATCATACTTGGGACTTCTGTTGCCGGAATGGTTAGTAGAACCTCACAGGCCTCTAACCACAGTCTCGAAGACAAGTGGATTTCGAACTGGATGGAAGAATTGTTCTTACTGATGCTGAAAATGAGAATCAAGATATCGTTGCGCCAAGCTGTGCCCGTCTGATCAGCACGTCATAACTCACTGCAAGAAAAACGTGATTCAGAAGCAGCAGAAAAACGTCATGATATCTGCTTCTACCCGGTTTAAAGTTAATAAAAGTTCTAATGCCATTTCCTCATTAACTGAGCGAGTCAGTCAAACGTTACCGCCTAATGTACACGAGTCACTGCTCAGAGAAAAAACTTACCGTTGTCTAAAAGTGACTATCAGTACCAACGTGATAACCGCCAACAGCCCGCAGATTGCAGCAGAGGAAGCGTTCAAGAAGTTCTTGTACACCAGGTCTGTAAAATGGTTGAAATGAAGTTACTGAAGGTCGCATTACCTATCTTGAGTTTACTTTGTTCGCATTGCGTAAAGTTGTCTATGCGTCGGCAAAACGGCTGGCGTGAAGAACAGTTATCCATGCACACACCTGAAACAACATCGTCAACAAACGGAATAATAAACTGAACAAGAATTCTTAACATGGTTATTTAACGAAAACTTGGTTTATTAAACATAAAACCATCGAAGAACTGTGTTAATGTGACATTTTGACCTCCCGTTTCGCAACCTATCGGTTCAAGATTATGCCTCAGTGATATTCGCAAAGAACAGATCTTAATGTTGATGACCTTCGGTATTCATCGAATTCGCCGATTATGCGAGGCTTTTTCTCACCTTGCAGATTCTTTACTTTTTCATACGAAATGTCCTCGTAGATTGGTACATGAAAAACGCTCGTCGACAAAACTGCTTGAATAATTTGAAAGTGCTGCTGCTCACCATTCACTGATGATATTTGCTCGAGGCCAAAAATCTCGTATAGTGCTTCACTTTTCTGAATCTTTTAGGTTAAACGAATGGTAAAGAAATATCATCTATAGTTCACGGCAGTAAGCATTCCGATTCGTCGGCAGAACAAGCACAGGCAAGAAAACGGCCAATTATTGTTAACTATTAATTTTCGTGCTTCTCTTTGATTCGTAAACTTCTACACCGTCAGTATAGCTGTTTATTTATTATTTATATTCAAGGACGTTATGTCAAAAAACAGTGTAATAATCAAGTTTTGCCTATGAAAACAAGCATAAGAAGAAAACATTCTGCGTTGAAATACAGACTCGGACTTATATGAATTCAAACTTGGACAAGTTATTTTGAAACGATTATGGAATAATTTCAAGTTGAAAAATTTTGCTTAACACACCTACGTTACCGGCCCTCCATCTTACAGCAGTGTCAATAAGAAGTGAATCTCACTGAAACAATTAAAAATAGAAGCTTTTGAATTTAATAATGAAGAACTGATTGACACACAGGGCTGATTTATCAGATGAAGAACTCATTAAATCAGGAACATAAACAGTCTGAAGCAGAGTCTTTCAAACGAGATGAGGAATCGAAACACTTCCTGATAATTGAGATGATTTCAACGCATTTCTTGAGACTTCAGGAAGAGTGACATAACTGGAGAATATGGACCTCTAATGTTTCATAATTAGAGTCAGTAAAGAAAAAGTTGGCGCTTGAGACTACCATCTAGTGATTTATGAAGAGAAGCCAATTCTTGGTATTTTCATAAAGAAGATCGAACAGCCAACTTAAGTGTTTTTCTTTTCTGTTTTCCCATGCCATTTATACAATACTATATTACTCTGCATTAATAATTACACTTGAAAAACAATTTGTACGTGCATCCTGTGAACAGACTAACAGAAAAATCTTAAAAACGTTTATGTAGTATCGTATATACCTACTATCAACATTTATGCAATGAAGTGAGATTAACTGATGGTCATGGACAAACATCGTGTTACATACAGGTTTGCGCGTAACGTCACTCACATAAGTCAGGATCGGTCTGCAAGTATAAATGATTTCTAAGATTCATTTCGATTCTGTGTTTTCAAATTAGATGATCAAATAATTCTGTACGCAAAGCATAGACTAATGCTAAAACTAAATGTTTCAGCCAAAATATTAGTTACGCTCTGGTCAAAACCTACTGGGAATTTCAGCTTCCTTTTAAACAACAGCTAACTTTTGACTTTATACCTTTCGCCGTCCACGTTAGAACCGGTCAGAGTGAGTAAATCAGTACCCCCTTCCACAAAAATCCGTCTGTGTCTTGGCTGTATCAGGTCAGTGTTGTTGTACGGCGTAGAGACAGTTGTTGTAATGAAAGAGCAATAACAACGGAACTTCATGCAGAACGCTGACTTCGACGCAATAATGAGGGTCAAATGGTGGGATCACGTAAGTAATGACTCTATTCTGTTCCGGGTACAAGTGACCTCAACGGATGTTGAGCTGGTTATGTCATTTTCTTCACCCCATGAGTTTTTGGTACGGAGTCAGCGTGCAGCATGGAGCAACAACGCAGACCTGTTTTCCGTGATGCAGAAACAGCAACCTTACAACTAAAATGCTGTAAAGCTGCGAATACGGCGGATATCACAAAGCAAAGACCTGCTGGTTATTATGTAAACGGCTGAAGATGATTATCTTAAGCAAACAAACACACTTTATACATAGGACGCAAAGTTGAACTACGCATCGATTTTAACATTTAATTTGTATAACGTATTGTACCCTATTATGCAGAAACATCGACATATGTAGCTTAAACTTACCGTAGCAATGTTCGACGCTGCTGGCTCCAATTTTCGAAGTTGTCATACCTTGTGGACATGGCTTACAATAGCTGCTGTTGTAAAGGTTCTGATAGAAGCCGATACCGCACGGCTGACAAACCGAAGCTGTCGCGTACTTCCCTGGAGGACAGTACAGAAGGGTGCATTCCGAAACATCCTTGGCTCCGTCTGAAGGGGTGCTGAATCCGAGCGGACAGGAGACGCATGCGCTCATCTCGCCAGCGGCTTTATAGCTTCCTTTTGAGCACCGGACACAGTGTCCGTCAGGTCCAAACTCCTCACCGTCGTCGCATGCTGTAAACATCGATTACATACTTTAGAATCTCTGTTACTCTACGAGAATCGAACTGATTCCTACTCAACGTGCAGTCGCTGGCACTTTTGGAACCACGATTTAATGTGTTTGTACCGGCAGGACAGGGGAAACAACTGGTTCTTCCTCGACTGGGTTGGTAGAAGCCAACGTCACACGATTCGCACCGTCGATGGTTATAATCGTAATAATTACCGGCTAAGCAGTTCTCTGAAGATCACCAGATTTCCTTTGCGTATTTGAACCGCATTTACATCGCCTCCCATGACGAACACCCTTACCGATGCAGTCGGCAAACTTGTGAGCTCCTTCGTAGGTCGTGATCAAGTGCGGCGGACAGCGGATACAAAACGTTTGACCTTCGGCGCTCTGGTAAGAACCACTTTTGCACGGCATGCACTTCTGTGAATGCGTATCGTGGTAGGTACCAACCGG